TGTGTATATCTTCACAAAATTTGGCAGTCTTTCAGTTAATATTATGTCTTTCACATACAAAAAATGATATTTTTACTGAAGTATTTTTATTAAAATAAAATAAAGATTTGTCCACGAATATATTGATTATTTGTTTTGAATACTCCGTATGCAAAGTAATTTTCATGTTAAAATTAAAAATATATTTCTTTATATCAAAAATCTAAAATTTTCTTTGTATAATCCCTAAAACCTCCTAAATGTATTTCAAACTTTTTTTTAATAAACTTTATAGTTTATCTGTTATTTTCTCTACCCTATCTCAAAACAGAATCGGTCAATTTGACTGACCTTGTAACCACCAAACAAAATCGAAATTAATCTAAATTACTTTCTTTTTTTTCTAGAATGACTTCAGATTGTAACATGAAACTACATTCATTTATCCTAAGTAGCTCTAAGATCGTAACAATATACATCTATTTATAATTAAATGTTATTGTTTTATTGCCCTTTGAACCATGTCTAACTACTATCCATGCCATTATAAGTTGTAAATCACTTGGGGAATGTGCAACTCACGTTATGCTAAAAAATTACATTACCCACAAGCTGCTCATGTGTGTGACTCATGAAACATTTTTATTATAATATTATTATTATTCATTTTTACCTAATCTAATCTTAACTAACTTAAAAGGATCTCAATTTTTACATTTTAGTTACTTTTATAATTATACATAAAGAATAAAAATGAAAAATATATTACTTAACCAATTTTCTTTTTTTCTTGCTGTTGATTGTCAAAAAGAGTTAACCATAATTTTTTTATACTAATGATAGTAATGCACTTAATGTTTATTTAATTAAAGAATGTACCAAAGAATATAGACTACTAACATGCAAAAAGTAGACAAATTCCCTTACCTCTCAAAATTTTTCTGGCAGTCCTCAGAATTTGAATATTGGTTGGTATTAATAATGGCTGGAGATGGCTTGAATGGGTAATGAAGAAAAACTTTAATATAAGTTTAACATAACGGCAAATGTACAACGTTTCGACAAAGGTTTGTCCTCATCAAGTTGGAAATGATGATGGAAAAAACCTTTTGCAAAAGTTTTAATTTTTCCATTTGTTTTAATT